CCTTGGCAGGTGAGATGGCATCTCACCCACAGTTCTCAAAGGGAGGCTGGGATCCAACGTCTCCAGCACGTGGCCTCCACCTGAGGCTGTCCCAGGACGGGCACTCAGAAAAGATGAAGGGCACGTTGAGATGATACCTAAAGATGCCTCTTTCCCGAGGAGCTCTCTGTCCTCACGAGAGGGCACACCCAGGGCCTCTCGGGGCTCTGCACCCCACCCCCCAAGCCCTACTCCCCACAGGCCAAAAGGAAGCCGCTAGCCAGGGAGCTCGCTAGGTGAATCGGTTCCTGGGACCATCTGGATCCAGCTGGCAGAGTTAAATATTTACATTGGTGTTCTTCCCAGGCCTGCCACAAATACAAACATCCAGACTGCAGGGCTGAGTTTTGTGCAAACGTTGGGGCTTTGCTTTTTTATTAACATTATCCTCTCACATGGTTTACATCAATTTATAATAATCTACATAAGTTGAAACAGAACATAAGACAAAAAAAATATATCCTTACCAACTTAATTAAAGTCAAATATTAATGAGGGGTCCCATCCCATCTGTACCAGCAAGTACTCCGGGCAGCCCTTGGCCACTGCAGGCACGAGGCTGTGCGGGGGCCTGGGCTGCACAGTCTTCTCATGAGAACCCACAGGGCATTTCCTTGGGGCAGCTTAATCCAGGTCTGCACCCACCCCACCCCTTCAGGGGGTGGAGTTTATAAATGGGACCTGCCTTCCTCCTGCTCCCACTTTGCCTGAGCAAGCTCAGGGCTGCGGCAGCTCCCTGATGCCAAGGCACAAACCTTGGTTTGGGGGAGGCACTGATTTGGGGCTGCAGTCAGCCTGCTCCCACTGGGCCTCCAGCCTGCCACGGTCCATCACTTTGGAAGTAAGCCAGAGTGCTCTACCACTCCAACCTGGGTGTGCCCAGCAGAGGTTCCTGGGACTGGCACCCCCTCACTTCCACCCAGGGAGCATGGCTCCTAGCTGAGCTGCCAATAGGCAGCAGGTAGCATTTCTCTCCTGGGATGTGGACAGGAGGTGTGCCCTTCTGCTTCAGACCTGGCCTTCAGAGGAGGCCCTGCCCCTTACTGGGCAAGCGATCAGGGCCAGCAGACCCTGCTTTAAGACTTTGCCCTGAGCACTAACTGGCCCTGTTCCCAAAGACCAAGCAGTTGCCCTCTTCCAGCTGGGAGGCGCAGGCTCGCTCTGGCTCCCGCAGCCAGGGAGACACTGCCCTCGCAGGCCAGTGGCCACAGCTCTAGGAAAAACTGCTCCTCCCCAGGCTGAGCAGTGAGGTGGGGGGGCTCCGCGCTGGGCATGAAGCCTGCTGACCCCGCCCTCGAGCGTCCACAAGCAGAGGCGGTGCCTGTGCTGCCTCCTCCTCCTATTGCACCCGGCATCTCCCAGAGCAGCAGAGCTGAGCATGGGGCAGCACTGCACCACAGCACAGGCCCCGGACAGCCCCGCCCCAGGCTGCCCTGTGGTGGTGCTCAGCTGTGAGAATGTAAGATCTAAGGCAAAAGTACCGTGGGTATGAGGGTGCCTGGTGAAGACACCTGGGTGGAGCCACCTGCTTCCAGACACCCGCTTTGGCCACCTGAGCTGCCCTCCCAGAAACCTGGAACCCTTAGCAAAGCCCGTGCAAGCCCTTGCTCCCAAAGGCTGCTTCCCCACAGCCCAGGCACCTCCCTCAGCAGCCTGGCTCCGTCTGCCCCGCACGGTCCTTCCTGACCCTCTGGCTATAGCAGGTCACACTTTGTAAGTCTTTACACTCCAAAGGAAACATTTGCGGGGGAAGGAATAGAAAAGAACCCTCCCACCCCCCCCAAAACAGTCAAAGATGCCTCCCTGCAGGCAGGAGGATAGAACAGATAAACACCAGAAACGGAGATTCTGACGGAAATTCCAGACCCCAGCTCTCCAGCGCTGTGCCAAGCTGGGGAGCAGTGTGGTTCTGTCTCTGGTCCGACTTTGCACAGGCATGGAGGCCAAGGAGATGTGCTACCACAGGCGGGGTAAGAGGACAGCCAGAGGCCACTGCCACCGCCCCCACTGCACCCAGGGCCAGAGGGTCCAAGGTGACAGCAGAGACGGCCTCCTGTGCATGCGGGTGGGAGCAGGGCCAGGAGAGGAGACACGGCCAAACAAAAGCCCCGCCTGGAGCCCAGGGGGAGCCAGGGTCGCAGGAAACGGAAGAACAAAAGCAGGCGACCTGATCGGGGGTCTCTGCCTGCTCAGTGACAGACAGACATAAGATGATTCCCGGAGGACAGCACAGAGAGCATTAGACACGACAAGAAAGGGGGAGAGGGGCAGCGGCGGTGCAGGCCGGGCGTCTGGCTTTGTACAAAGTGGCAGGAGAGGTGCGCGGCGTCCAGTCCCTGGCAGTCGGCTTCCCTGGAGTCAGAATGCTGGGCCCGGGGGTTTTACCGCAGTCTTTCAAGTCTGTGTGGGGCCTCCCCCGCTGCAGAGGGCGGCCCCCCAGCTGCCCTGGCCTCACGCTACACGTCTGTGGAGAAGTACAGGGTGTTCCGCTTCAGTTCCGAGAAGGAGATGGGAGGGTGCTGCAGGTAGTAGAGGAGGACCTGGACCTGTGGGAAGAAAGGGGAGGCTGAGGCCGGGGCCGGGGTGGGGGCGGGTGCCTGACCCCTCTGCTAAGGTGCCCTGCCTAGGCTGGTTCTGGAATCTCCCTGCTCAGAAGCCCAGCTGGGTTTGCACATTTTCGGCAGCAAAGGGCGGGACCCGGGTCACTGATCCTAGGCAGCCCAGTCCTGGGTCTCCCGGAGCTCCAGAGCTTCCAGGTATGAGGACCAGGGCTGGGCTTCCCCCTCTGTCAGGGGAATGGGGTTTGTACTAGGTCTGGGTCTGGGATGAGCAGGTTGTCCTGGTGACACCCTACCAACAGCCCAGGAAGGGAGGGCACACGGTACCTGTGCCATGACATCGTGTGACCAGATGTCTGCGGCCGACGTGAGCTGCACTTTGCTCTCCATTTCCGAGGGTCTCAGTAACGTGGGGCCGAACACGGTGGCCAGGTTGTGCAGGGACATTTTGTTGATGGGCTCCTTTTCAGCAACCCTGAGCAGGAGGAGAGATGGGATGCCTCAGCACCACTCTGCACCCTGGGGCCCCCGGAGCTGCACTTAGCTCCCTGCCTCAGTCTGGGCAGCCTAGGCCCAGCTGGGACACATTCTCTTGCTCTGTCTTTGTGCATTCCTGCCTCACCTGGCCAGCCCCCAGGGGTCCACAGACATCACATTAAACGCCTGTGTCCCCAGAGTGACCCGTCCTCACCCTCACCACACCCTCCAAGGCAGGCCAGGCTGTGGCCACTGTCACCATCCGCTGTTCACAGGCCAAGAAACCGAGGTGCAGCGAGTTCCAGTGGCTTGTGTCAGGTGGGCTGTGAGCCGGGGCTGCCTCCACAGGCCACGCTGTATACACTCTTGCTCGTCCCCTGGGCCAGTCAGGTGGTGGCCAGCAGCTGGGAGCGAGTCAGAATGGGCTGAGGCAAGGTGAAAGGTCAGTGAGCCTGGAGTCCCAGAAACAGGTGCCCACTAGATCTGAGCCTCTCTCATCCCAGCCGAGCCCGGGGCTCTCCGTGGTCTCCCATGCCTCTCCAGGAAGGTCTGCCTCCTCGGACCCCAGGGTGGCCGCCCTTTGGAGGTCCAGCTTCCCTCACGTATGTACCGAGGCAGGTGCGCTGCAGCTCCTTGCCCAGAGGGGCAGGCGGGAGCTGCCATCAGAGGCTGGTGTCCCGAGGGCCCAGTGACACTGCACATTCGCTCTCCCTGGTCAGAGGAAGTGTTTCTGGGGCTGAGGCCCCGGACGGAGCAGCACCGCTCAGCCCGCTTGATAGGATGACGCCATTCCCACCCTCTGGGCCAGCCCGGGATGTGCCCACTGGCTGCCTTGGAAACAGGCAGACAAACACTGCGATGCCAGGAGGCAGCTGTATGTGTGCACACAGACACACAAACACACATACTCTCTCTCTCTCTGCCCGGGCCAGGGACCCAGATGTGGGAACAGGCTGTGCCCAGGCCCCAGTTCCCAGGGTGGAAAACCTAATGGATTTTCCTTCCCCACTCCTCCCAGAACTCGCCAAATCATCTGGGGGTTTGGGGGGTGGCTTTGGTCCTGGCCAAACCAGAGGGAAAAGCCTCACCATGGGAAAAACAAGAGAGCAGCCCCGAGGCCTGGCTTTCGGGTCTCCTTTCCTGCCTGAGCTGAGCTGGCCAGGCTGGCCTATGCCGGGAGCCTGGTTCAGAAGAGCAGCCTCCTCCTTACTCACAGCCCCTCGTCCTGGTGACCCAGCGTAGCCACTCCTGTCTCAGAGCAGCCTGGGCTCAAGAGAGACCCTGATGTGGATGGGCCTTGGCAGCGTTAGGCTGAGTGCCATCAGTCAGACACACACGCTCACTGCCGTCCAGTTGGTTCCTGCTCACGGCACCCCTCCGGCCAGGGTCACACAGCCCTGCGGGCTCCCGGGCCTGTACATGGGGACGGGAGGGAAAGCCTCGTCTTTGTCCTGCAGGGGTGGCTGGTGTTTTCCAACTGCTGACCTCGGGGTTCGCAGCCCAACGAGTCACCCACTCTGCCACCCAGACCCCTCAGCCAGATCCAAGAGGACACACATTGTGCATCCACTGACGGGAAAGGCAGCGAGACCACAGTACATTCATGCCCACAGGCTGGGTGAATAGAACCAGGATGCTCCTTCGAAGGGACAGTGGTGAGCCTGCCCAAGGAGCTTGGGTCCACGGTGAGCAGGAGGGATCAGGCAGTCCCTGGAGAGGGCACAGCAGGCTTTGTGAAGCACAGAGCCAACGAAAGAGGCAGACCTCATGACATGGATTGACCCAGAGGTTACAACAACGGGCTCAGACACAAGAGTGTCTGAGGACAGCGCAGGGCCGGCGGTGTTCCACCTGTCTTCTGATGGACCTCTGGTGGCTATCGGTGGGCACAGCACCTAACCGCACCAGCTGAGGGTAGGAGGGGGTGGAAGCCTCTTGCTCAGGGGCAGTGAGTGTCTGTAGGGAGATGAAAACACTTGGCGATGGGGAGAGGTGACGATGATGGTGAGAGTAAGCTACTGAGTGCCTGTGCGCTATACACGCAGGTTCAGGCGCCCCCGCAAGTTTGCGAATATTTTTTTCCACAAGAAAAGGGAAAAGGAAGTCACGAACTGCGTGACAGACACCCTGATGGCTAATTTCAGCGCGGGGCTGCGCTTCTGCACCTCTCGGAGTGTGCGTGCCAAGGGTCTTGGCTGAGGATTTGGGAGGGATGGGCTGCTGGGGCAGAGCTGCCCAGTCAGGGATGGTCCCACTGCGATGGGAGCCTCGGTCCACTCTGTCCCGTGTGCCGTGGGACCAGTGGGTGTCAAGTTTCTCAGACTCGGATGCACCCCACCAGCAGTTTCCTCTGCCCCGGGCGTTACTGTGCGGCGCCTCCCAGCCATCTTGACACCTGACGCCCCCACGGGTGCAGAGTGGAACAGCTCAGGCCGTGACTGCCAGGACTGGCTTTTGAGGCGCCCTCAGAGGGGCTAGCAGTCAAGTGCTTAACTGCCGACACGTGGCAGGGACTCCGGGGCCCCAGCACACCTGTCCATACAGAGTAGACCAGGAAGCCTAGTGCTTACTGCTTTTCTCACTCAATTTCACCTTAGAAACCGACTGACTGATGTTGGGACCCACTAAGAACTGCTGACATCCCCGGCGTGAGCCCCGCAGCCCATGGCCTGGGTCTGAGCCTGCTGCTAGAACACAACTACTCAGAACACACTTCTCACAACAGAAGCACGCACGTGAGAGCCAGGAAGTCAGGGAGGTGACCCCGCCCCCTGCCATGCCAGCCCGGCCGAGGCCAGTGCCCACCGAAGGACAGCGTGCCCCTGCTCCAGTTACCTTTTCAAGTGCTCCAGCAGGAAGAGGAAGGTGATGAGGTTGGGGTCAGGCAAGGAGCGGAGCAGGTGCATCATGCAGTTTTCCTTGGCAGCAGGGTCTGACAGGGCTGGGGACAGAATGGGGTGGGGACAGGGCTGGGCTGGGCTCGACTCCCAGGAAGCCACAGGGAGAGCCCAGGGAGCTGACCTTGCTGGCTGGCTCCTTCCCACAGAGGCACACTCAGGACTAGTTGCCATCAGAGGCTGGTGTCCCGGAGGGCCCAGTGACACTGCACATTGGCTCTCCCTGGTCAGAGGAAGGGTTTCTGGGGCTGAGGCCCCGGACGGAGCAGCACCGCTCAGCCCGCTCGATAGGATGACGCCATTCCCACGCTCTGGGCCATCCCGGGATGTGCCCACTGGCTGCCTTGGAAACAGGCAGACAAACACTGCGATGCCAGGAGGCAGCTGTATGTGTGCACACAGACACACAAACACA